GCCCCCCATCACAGGCCATTCTTGACATTCGCCTTCAAAGGAGTGGCTTATCAATATACGGTCCTTCCCTTTGGGCTGTCCCTGGCTCCACGCATTTTCACGAAGTGCATGGATGCAGCTCTTTCCCCTCTGAGACAGGTGGGAATCCGCGTTCTCAACTACCTCGATGACTGACTCATTTTGGCCCAGTCGGAGGCAGAGTCACTATCTCACAAAGCCCTTCTCCTCAGCCATTTGAAATGCCTGTGACTCAGGGTGAACTTTCCCTGGGAATGGTCTACAGGAGAAAGGTGGTTTCGACAGATGCTTCCAACACAGGTTGGGGAGCTCTGTGCAAAGGGAAACCAACGTTCTGCCACTGGTCGATAGCGGAAAGCAGTCTGCACATCAACTGCCTCGAAATGCTGGCGGTATGGCGGGCTAGACCAAAACCAGACCTCAGGGGACATCAGGTCTTGGTCCGTTCGGACAGCATGATGGTGGTGTCCTACATAAATCGCCAGGGGCGACTGTCCTCGAAGCGGCTCCTTGTACTAGTAGAGCGCCTCTTGGTATGGGCCCAGCTAAACCTACGTTCGCTGAGAGCAGCACACGTTCCGGGCATTCTGAACCGAGGAGCGGACATGTTGTCACGAAGCAAGGTCCCCTCAGAGGAGTGGATGCTTCATCCGCAGACAGTTCCGAAAATTTGGGAAATCTTTGGCAGGGCGGAAGTAGACCTTTTTCGCCTCAGAAGACAATTCTCACTGCCCAATCTATTATTCCAAGGACAAGGATGCGTTGGCCCACAACTGGCCCAACCTCCTTCTCGACGCTTTTCCCCCGGTTGCCCTGATTCCACAGGTAATCAGGCAGATCAGGGAACAGAAACGCAAAGTGCTCCTGGTGGCCCCGCTCTGGAGAAACCAGCATTGGTTGGCAGAGCTGTCTCAGCTGCTAATAGCAGCCCCGTGGCCTATTCCCCTGAGGCGAGATCTCCTCTCCCAGGCGAACAGGATGATATGGCACCCCAGGCCAGAGCTGTGGGCCTTGCACCTGTGGCCACTCGACGGGAGCCTGTTAGTCTCCCAGAGTGTGTATTGAACACCATTTCTCAGGCTAGAGCTCTGACGACAAGACGCCTCTACGCCCTTAAATGGTCAGTGTTCTCTGCCTGGTGCTCAAACCGTGGTGATACTGTCCTTCCTGCAGGAGCTGTTGGATAAGGGACGCTCCCCGTCCACGCTCAAGTTATATGTGGCAGCAATAGCGGCTTCTCATGCCCCTATAGCGGGCCAATCAGTCGGCAGGAACAACCTTGTTCATTTTCTGAGGGGAGCCAGGAGGCTAAATCCGCCCCGACCTTTCACTGTCCCTACGCTGGACCTGCCCACTGTTCTGAGGGCCCTGAAGGGTCCTCCTTTCAAGCCGCTGCAGTCCGTCGACCTTCGGTCCCTGTCGTTTAAAACCGCTCTGCTACTAGCATTAGCATTGGTCAAGTGAGTAGGGGACTTGCAGGCACTCTCTGTAAGCCCTAATTGCCTGAAGTTCGGGCCTGTCAACTCCAAGGTCGTCCTGAAACCAAGGCATGGCTATATACCTAAGGTGCTCTCGACTCCATTCAGAGCACAGGTTATCAATCTCTCTGCACTTCCTCCCTCAGAAGAGGACCAGGAGTTGAATTTACTCTGCCCCGTTAGGGCTCTCAAGGTTTACATTGAGCGTTCCTCCCAGTTTAGGCAGTTGGAACAGCTCTTTGTTTGCTTCGGTGGCCACGCTAAAGGACACCCGGTCACGAAGCAAAGACTTTCTAAGTGGATAATTGGCGCTATTCTGCTAGCCTAATCTTCCTTGGGTCTACAATGCCCCGTTGGAGTACGAGCCCACTCAACTAGAGGCATCGCCTCTTCGTGGGCGTGGTCTGGCGGTGTAAAAATTGCAGAAATTTGTGCGGCGGCCAGCTGGGCCTCGCCGTCCACTTTTGCTAGGTTCTATAACTTGGATGTCCCTGCCTTGCAGGCAAGGGTTCTTTCTGCTTAACTGGCGCACAGTTCACTCTGAGTGAAGTTTGGATGTAACATGCCCAGACCTATCAGAGAGCTTACTTGTGCGCTCTCGGCCCTCATAGGTCCTGAGGTTGCGAAAGTCTTCTGGAACGATCACTCGGCTGGGTGAGGCCTTCGTGAGGCTAAGCCCGTTAGCCTGGAAGGATTTATTGTTCTTGTTCTTTTGGGCCCTGAGGTGCCTAGGACAAGGATTACCATCATTACTCTGCCACGGCACGGTGTGATTGTACTGTTCCCATAGTGTCTAGCAAGATGCAGTACTAGTGTAGTATCGATAGGGAACGTACTCGGTTGCAAACGTAACCTCGGTTCCCTGAGATACTGGAACGAGTACTGCGTTGCTAGCCGTGCCATGCAGCCACACGACTCAGTCGTCGCTTCAGTCGAAGTAACCTGAATCCTATGGCGAGGCGGCCGCTTATATAGCCAGATGATTCCACCCATTCTGGTGGGCTTTGGCGGGCTTCGCGGCCATAGGTTTGTGCAGCACCGCTGCCGAGCCATTGGTTCATTTTTAAAACATACGGCACAAACCAATGGCTGTGCAGTTTCACTGCGTGATTGAAAAAGGCTTCAGTTCAGGAGAAAAAATTACTTTTTCCCATAGCGTCTAGCAAGACGCAGTACTGGTTCCGGTATCTCAGGGAACCGAGGTTATGTTTGTAACCGAGTACGTTACAAATTTTATAAACACTATTTTAGTTCCCCTCTCGCCACAACAAATCCTCTAAAGTTAACAGTATTCAGGCTATATAAACGTCAAGCCAAAACAAAATAATTTAAAGTGAAACTGAAGCCTACCTCTCTTATTCGGCACAAATCCAAATAGTAAACTATCCACCTTATTATTCCTGTAAAAAGGGGCGCGGCCGTTTGTAAATTTAATGGGTCTTGTTTCCGGTCTCATTCACCTCCAGCTGTTTTTAGCTGTAAAAAACAGCTAGTTTTGCAGCTTGATATTGCAAACTGGTGTGTCTTACCATATTATTTTAATGTATTATATTAATTATGAACACACTGGTTTGTAGTGCAAACAGTTTTACGGTTTACTGCACTTTGATATTCTTCTCGTTATTTCCCTACAGCGGCTAATGAACCCCGAAGTCTCGCCCATATGCTTACTTCCGTGTTGAAGAATAAAGTGGATAGGCTTTGTACTTTACTCGTATTATCGATGTAAATCATCATCCTTCACATATAGGCTATATATCACTGCCATTGTTTTCCTTTATGAAACTGTTACTCCATAATTTACCGTCATACAGATAGAAGAAAGACATCATTCAAAACTGTAAAGCTTTTTTTTTTAAATAAAGAAAACAAGCAGGACACCGCTTTCTGACATTTTGGTTTCCTTTCCGAATGAAACGAAACTCAGCACATTTTTCATGTGAATCCTTGTTCTACATTATCCTGCAATTTGCACTGGTTTGAAGCAACTGCAAGCTGCATATTACCTGCCATTAATTTTCACTTAAATGTAGGCCTAATGCTTGACGGTTCATGACATATCCTCAGAAAAACATTGTGACAACTGAGCGTTGGCATTTCACTCACTTCAGATGCATCAACATCACATTTACATTAGCCTTAGGCTTAGGCTATTATTTAAATTTGTGATTGGTTAACTGGAAAATTCAAATATTAACCTTTCTGTCATCTTTGGGGTCAAAATTACCGCATCTGAACTTTCCTTAAAGGGATACTCCACCCCAATGTCTTGTTAATTGTCTTGAATTTCAAATTTCTGTGGCATTTTGCAAAAACTGACATTTTAAAACACATCAATTGATCATTGATTTTTAATGTATTTTATTATATTTATATTTATATAAGAATCACAACTTTAGGGCTCTTTACTTAAGTCCTTCTACATTTTTTCACTTTATTAATGAACAACATTAGTTTATATGCTAGAAAAAACACTGTAAACCACTACAACTGTGTTTATTAAACCAAACAAAATGTAACATTTGAATAATTAAAATCATGATTATTGTTATTAACACTGGTGTTTCTTGACCTTTACTGACACCTAACCATACTCTCTATGCTATCATGCCATCTGTACATGTAACAAACAGTTTTTTTACTCTGTGAGTGAAGTCAAGGAATGAGGCGGAACCAGCAATAGTGAAAGTATAGGAGCTATTTCAGTCAAGTCAATATGAATCATTTGTTCAATGCCAGTGTGCTCTCAGTCTGTGCTGTGATCACGAACCCACAATTAACATTTTAACCTCTTTGGACCGAGTCAGATTTCCAAACGGTAAGGTAATTTTCCTAAGTAGACAATGTTTTTGCCAGTTACAATATATATAAATAAATATAAATATATATATATACAAAATATTGTAATTGTGCAATTGTAACATCAGTATAACAGAATAACAAAATGTAAAATATAAAAATTAAGAAATGAAAAAAAAAAAAAAAAAGACCAAACAAGAACAAATATACATTAATTAAATGGGCACAACTACATAGGTTTTCCTTGCTTTTGTGTTTTCAAATACAGAAAGTGTTTCAAAATACTGTTGAAATTAATTGAGAAATGTTTTTAAAAAATGTGGTCTATGATTGGTAAATTTGCATTTATGCATGTGAAACTTGGCTAAAAGAAATGATTTATAAAATAAGTCTTATTCATTTCTGATTAATAAAACCAACTAACACTTCGGTTGACTCTTTGGTGACTGTTTTTTAGTTTATTTATAGTGTAAATTATTGAGTAATTCATAGATTTTAGTTCTAAGCACCATACATTTGACGTGAATTATGTACTTTACTATGAAATAATGTTAAAAGATTTACAATTTTCCCTGTATAAGGTAACTTACAGCTAATTAATTAACTGTAGCATTTTTAATAAGTTTATATATATATATATATATATATATATATATATATTACTGTATTTTACAGTGTACCTGTAAATTCTGATGTTTTTCAGTGATGGCGCAAAATGACAGTCAGTTATCAGGTCTTCGGATTCTGCTGATTGGTAAAACTGGGTCAGGAGTTAGCGCTACTGGAAACACTATCCTGGGTGAAAATGTGTTTCTATCTCGGCAGAGCACAAACTCCAAGACTCACAGTTGCCACGAACACAGAGCTGAAGTTTCAAACAGAAGAGTTACAGTAATTGACACTCCAACGTTCTTTAATACAGAAAACATAAATCTAAATATAGAGTTAAAGATAAGATTGAACATGGGCTCTCCAGGAATCCACGCAATTCTTCTGGTTCTCCCTTTACATAAACTAAACTATGCAGATACTGTGTCCTCATTTAAGCAGATGTTTGGTAAGAATGCCATGAAACACACATTAGTCCTGTTCACATATGGAGACGAGCTTAAAAACAACCCAATTGATCAGCTAATAAAACAAAACCCAGAGCTGTCCAAACTAAGAGATGAGTGTGGAGGGAGATATCACGTACTGAACAACAAAGATCTGAACGACAGAGAGCAGGTCACCAATCTCCTGATGATGATCGAAGGAATGATGTCTACAAATCAGAACAGCTGCTACACATTACAAATGTTTGATCCTCAGCCGTTTAATGTTCTTCTGCAGAGAATTACAAAGCCAAAATATCTGTATGCATCAATTGTATTTGTAATAGGTGTTTGTATTATTTTGACAGGAGTTCTCTGTAGGGATAATGGAAACTTTCTGTGTGGTAGTGGTTGGAAAGTCATTTTAGCTATATTGTGGTTCATTTGGGAAATTATATGGAAAAATCAGCGCTGGGGTAATAAGGTCAAACTGATGGCAATCATTGTTGGTGGTGTTATTGAGATGTTACTGAGTTACTTTGCTGTTGATAAAGAGTTTTCATTTCCTACATTTTTTAGAGTGATACTGGGGTGTCTTATATCTTTCTTAAGTCTGATCTGATCTCACATAAAAGATGATTACATAATAGTCCACAAGACAAAATAATAATTTACACAAATGACCCCATTCAAAACTTTACATACCCTTGAACTTTATTACTGTGGATACTCGTTACATTGGACTCCACAGACCAAGCAACCAGACAATCAAGAGAAATACAAACTTCACAGTTTTATGAACACAAAGTCAGCATTTGACTTTTACTATGGAATTCGATACAGTGAGCATGATTTTGAGCACAATATATCTGCATTAGCAAGCATAGCAGTACTATTAGGACCTGAGATTAAGTAGGTCTTATAGTGTCACACTTAAAACACTTTGGTCATAATGTATATAGGTATTGAGAAGGTACAAAAACCTTTAAGAGGGGGTGATTTTGAGAAGAAATTGTTACAAAGGGAATGTTTTTGGATCTGTACTTAAAACACTATGTCACCACCAGGGTTAAATGAGTTTGACATTAAGTCTTTCTTATAGTAGTATTTCTTCATCTGTTTTTAATAATAAATATACACTTTATTCTTGATACTTCTTTTTAATGCATCACAGCCTATTAGTAAGATAGTTTAAAATGTAATGTTATATTTTTGCATTATTTATCCTTAGCGTGGTGTAATTTGTATGTAGTGGTTGAGGTTTTGTATGTTAAACATTACTATTATGATTATCACTGTTGTTATTATTATTATTATCATCCTTTTTTCTCTCATTTTTTGTCACATGGCTCTGTGTATGTAATCATTTGTCACATGATTTTAAGTGTGTTTCTAATTAATTTTCTTACCTGTGTTTATAAAGTGAAGCATATAGTAAAGTCATGACTGTTGGGAACATTGCACAATTTTTATTTTTATTTTTTGAAGCTGTAATCTCAGTGTGCAGAGCAAAAAAACACTCTTTGTTTTTTAATGATTATCTTTTTGTCCTGCACCTAAGCCTATTTAAGGTTTCTGATGTAAACAACGTTTTTTTTTATTGAAATCTCATTTGGGATTATCCACAAATTGAAAATAATAATAATAATATATACATAAATAATTCATGCAATTTCCAGTCCATTTTATTTCACTTTACAAATTCACTTCCACAAATTCAATGGTTCAAATTCGGCAGAAAATTCAGCAATGCACATCCGGGAACTGCAGAAATAGCAGTAGAGTACCGATGCATGATCTACATCTGCTGTTAGTCGCTCACCAGCAGATGGTGCAAGCGGCTGTTGATAAAGACCAAAGCAACAGGTAGAGCAACTCATTCATTCACAGAAACAATGCTTTGAACACTAACACAGAAAGGCATACATAACTGAGATTTACAAATAATGACTGAGATTACACTAAATTTTCATTCACACACTGTACATCATATAACAAAATAAATTTAAAATAAAATAAAAACACTGAGGAAGAAGAAAAAATATATAAAGACAAAGAAGAAGTAGGGTAGTAATAGGTTTTCACATTATGAAACCAAAGTCCTCTAATAAGTATACATAAATATTTCTTTGGGACTTTTCATCCCTCTTAACGTCTCCAAATACATTACAAATTGCTCTTTAAACACCACTAATCGTGGGGGAGTTTTGAAAAAATTACATTTATGAATGTAAAATTTCAGCAAAAGCAACAAATTATTTATTACATAGGATATATTTTTATGCTTAACCCATTTGTGCCAAAATTTTTCTGAATGGTTTCATGCATATAGTCATGTTAATAGTGTCCTATGTGAACATGTTCTGCATTTATTTTCCCCAGGTTCTTTTTTTTCCTTTTCTTGAAAATCGTACTTGAATGTACGGCAACTATAGCTGCCGGTGGGCAAATATGTTGTATGCACCACTTCAATGTCAAATTTGAATAGGAGGAGAGCATTTGGCATCTAACTCAAAATAACTGCTTTCAACAGGTCAATCTTTATTCATAAACAAATTTATCATGCATAAAAGTCGAAGAGCATTCGATGCAAACCCAAATAAAGTTGCATCTAGTTTATAATCTCTTGAATATGAAAACACAACGAATCCATTTGTCTTTAAAGTGGTGGTGTAGTACTTTAAACATGTAGTGCAGAACAAAGTGCAGCCATTAAGTTGCCCCAACAGGGTATTGTGTATCAAAAAGTTAAATGAAAATAAATAGAATGAAGAAAATATTACATATAATAAAAAAGGTATACCTGAAAGAAAATTATGCATTTAACTGTTTGGTTACCAACATTCTGCAAAATATCTTCTTTTGTGCTCAACAGAAGAAAGAATCTCATAGGTTTGCAACTTGAGGGTGACTAAATGACACAATTTCCATTTTTGGGTGAACTTTCCCTTACGTAAGCAGTATTAGTATAAGTAGCCTACAAGGAGTACTGCAGTGAAGGAGTATAACTGCATAAAAGTAGTTTTATAAATTTACAAAAACATATTTGCATACTATACTTTGTGATGTAAATATGTAAAATATCACATTTTATGAATAAGCACATATTGATTAGGTCAAATGGATTAACCCTGACAAAATCCTTGATATTCATGAAATTAATGATATTTTTTAAATATATGATTATTTAAATAATTATCATGTGTAGGCTACACCTGTCACAAACAGGCCAGAGACAAGAGGAGTGCAGGTAAACAGAAGGGTTTATTGACAATGCTGTAATGGTGAGGATCGAAGGCAGGTGAGTATGAGAGATATATGAAAGTTCTTGGTTTCTTAGCTTCTTGATAATCTGGGTTCTGATTGTTGCAGGAATCCTGGAAATGAACCGAGGCTGAGGAGAATCGGGATCGCGGAGACGTTATACACCCCTGGAGGTAAGGAAACAACAGGTAATTATGCAGGTAAGGAGTCTGGTATTGTTCGGGTAGTGAACGGTAGACCGGACACTGGAATACTGAGTGGAGTGAGAAGATATAGCGGCCTTGATTGGTGATTGCAGGTGATCAGAATTCGGGTGATTGGGATCTGGTGTGTGTCGGAGGAGGTGACTGTGCTGACGTGAGTGATTGTGATGATTTCCTGACATTAACCCCTCCTCTAGGGGCGGCGACGAGGGCGACCGCGACTTCGGGGTGCGGGACTGTTTGGATGGTTGCGGTGGAATTCTTCCAGCAGTAATGGATCCAGTATATCGTCGCAGGCCACCCAGGACCTCTCCTCCGCTCCATATCCTTCCCAGTCGTCGCGGGCCACCCAGGACCTCTCCTCCGGTCCGTATCCTTCCCAGTCAATAAGATATTGTAACCGGCCGCCCTGTCACCACGAATTCAGGATTTCTTTAACCTGGTACACCGAGGGCTGGTCCAGAACCTCAGGAGGAGGGGGTGCTTCCGGCTCGGTGGATCTTGAGGAGGAGGAAGAACAAGGTTTGAGGAGTGAGACGTGGAATGAGGGGTGAATTTTGTACCTTGGTGGAAGCTGAAGAAGGTAGGTGACTTGGTTGATCTGCCTCTGTATTGGGAACGGACCAATATAGTGGGGACTCAGCTTTTTACAGGGCAGGCGGAGGCACAGATCCCGGGTGGACAGCCAAACCAGCTCTCGAGGCTGGTAGGTGGGAGTAGCGTTACGCCGGGCATCTGCGAAGATCTTATGCCTCCGCACTGCTTGTTAGAGATGGACGTGAGCCGACTCCCACACTCTCTCGCTCTCTCGGAACCAGTAGTCCACAGCTGGAACCTCCGAGGGCTCTTCTGTCCAGGGGAAGAGTGGGGGTTGGTAGCCGAGCATGCACTGGAAAGGGGTCAGGCCGGTGGTATTCTGACGGAGGGAGTTTTGTGCATACTCGGCCCAAGGAAGGTAGCGGCTCCAGCTGTGCTGATCGTCATGGCAGTATGACCGGAGGTAACGTCCGAGCTCCTGGATCCTTCGTTCAGTCTGGCCATTTGTCTGTGGATGGTACCCCGAGGACAAGCTTACGGTCACTCCCAGTAACCGGAAGAAGGCCTTCCATACTCGGGAGACGAACTGGGGCCCTCGGTCTGAAACGACCTCCTCCGGGAGGCCATAGTTCCGGAAGACCTGAGTGAATAGGCATTCAGCTGTTTCAAATGCTGTTGGTAGACCCTTGAGAGGGATGAACTTACAGGCCTTGGAGAAGCGATCAACCACAACAAGGATACAGGTGTTACCATTCGAGGCAGGGAGGTCAGTGACGAAATCCACTCCAATGTGGGACCAGGGTCTACGGGGCACGGGCAGTGGGACGAGCTTGCCTACGGGGAGATGACGTGGGGTTTTAGACATGGCACAGATTGAACAGCTTTGGATGTACCTGTTGACATCTCGGGCCATACTGGGCCACCAGTATTGAGCCTGGAGGAGCGAGAGGGCCTGTTGGCTGCCTGGGTGTCCAGAGCCCGGTACCTCATGCACTGAGCCCAGAAGGGTCTGACGCTGGGAGGTGGGAACGTACGTCTTCCCTTCTGGGCAGCCCGGCGGAGCAGGTTCGGTGCGAGTGGCGTCACGGATGTCCTGGTTGATGTTCCACTGTATGGGGCTGACGATCAGGGCTGGAGGGAGAATGGGTTCTGGTTCCGTTGGACTGTCGGGAGAGTGAAGACGGGATAGCGCATCAGCCTTGCAATTGCGATTTCCAGGTCTGTAAGTGATTGTGAATTGGAACCTTGTGAAGAACAAAGCCCATCGGGCTTGACGAGGGTTGAGTCTTTTGGCTTCACGGAGATATTGGGAGATTCTTATGATCCGTGATCACTGAGAAAGGGTGTAGTAAATCAGCTCAAAAGGGAAATATTTAAGACTAATTATAACTGGTTGTGATTAATAATATTTAGATTAGATCTTAGAATTAACTGTAGCAGAATCAATATTACAATTATTTGATCTGTCCGTCCACCGAGCAGACAATATAATCATTTATCAATTCAAGGAAATATTATTTTCCTGGCCAAGGGAAGTGGCTTTCCTTCGTTATGCAGTGCTAGCAGTAATTTAGCAAATGTAGCAAGGGTTCAAACATTCATTGACTTCGAATTGTGAGCAGCAAACAGAAGCAATCGATCGTGAATATAAGGGATTTAATAAATGAAACTATATCTAACATATAACTAAACTAAGCAAAACACATATATACAGAATGAAG